ATCAGACAGATATGCATGGGTCAGGAAGCTCTGTGCCTGTCCAAGGCCTCACTGGGGAACAAAGCTAAAATGAGAGAATACCCACACAATTGTGCTAAGCTTGGAGAGCTTTTTCTGCAAAAGAGGCTCTTCTACCTCTAGAGTTAGCATTACCACTCCTTTAGTTTTATGGCAAAGATTTCACTTTGGCAATTCTGCAATGCAAATCCCAGAAGAGTCTTTGCCTAAATTTAATTACTTAAAATGCACTGATGCATAGGACAGCCTGAGACAAGGCTTCCTTGGGTTTTCACAGTAGCAAACTTTATAACCTGGACTCTCAGCAAGGTCATTGGAGTCTGGATCCATGAGCTGATTCATAACCAATTATGGTAAAGATCAGTGTGACCTTTGCAGAAAACTAGAAAGGGCTCTTGAGAAAACCGAATAAAGTGCAGAAATACTTGCCTCTCTTTTCATCAAATCATGATAAACATGAAAATGTAGAGAATTAAAAATGATAATCCAGAAAGTACACGAAATTGCATTTCTTTCACTTCCCCACAGAGCGTCCCCATTTCACTATTCATTGCTCAACAGGCGACCACTTTGAGGTGGTAGACCATTTTGAAGAGGAGCCCACAAAGGTTTGTTAAACATGTATTTTCCCATTTCTAAAATGTATTAACTTGACAACGTTAACATAGAAAACTGAAAGTTCTATTTTATTTATCCTACAGGTAAAGGGGAAAGAAATCTTATGTTCCTTGGTAACTTGAAGATCAAATGAGGGTTTTTAAATGTGTATATATACACATATACTGTATTTCTTGTAAAAACTTTTGTACTTTTGTATATAAACAAACCCAATAATGAAACTTGAGTGCCTAGATAACCAATGTCTGTCTTCATATCTGAAATGTTTAAGTAGTATACGTATTAATTCTTACATATTGGCTATAAAATTTTATAGTTTAAGACTGTTGGTAAATTGTAGGTTTTAACTTTCTAAGTCATATGTGTTGTTGGCAAGAGTATCTGAGTGCATTGGAGTTGTTTTTCCTGAAATACTTGAACATGGCTGTATTTTAACTGCAAGCTGAAAAGGTAAGTGTGCACTCAAAAAGAGAAATCAATTAGTCTCGCTAAATTTCAGGACTATCTAAGAGCTTGCTTTGAACTTAAAAAATGTTGTTCCAGTATAGATATGACATTACAATGCCCTTTGTACCCATTTCTGAGACATTTTTTGATCAGTCCACTAATGTCTTGCAAAGCTTAGGAAAATGTGTTTCATCAGCCAATGATTTGATATGTGATTAGACAAAGGCATGATCACTCTCAGTCTTTTTACTCATTTCAAGATATATCATGCATCACATGGAAGAAGACTAACGCAATGAACTACAGAAAAAAATCTTACATTCTTTCATGGACTAACTTGTAAAGCAATCTGTTCTGCACTTCTTCCCTACAAACAGTTTTGTATTCATTTCAGATTAAAGTTAAAACATGGACAATTAATTAGATTTTGTTTTGTACATAATATTATGTGGATGAACAGTTAATGCAGAAATTTAGATAGTCTTAATTTTTGTTGATTAAAAGCAGAAATGAAACAGACGTAGGCTCGTGAGATCTGGTTTACATCACCATAACAGATGTAGCATTCACCAGTAGGCAAGCAATTTGCACTAAAATAGCTTCAATGACTTGTGCTCAAACTGTTTCAGTTATGGTTACAATCCCCGAGATTGGCAGAGAGATGCTGTACATCTGATAAGACCTAGAAGGGACCTAGTTAACACATTTTCCCAGAGCAATACCAGCTGCATAACCAGCTAGACTAATAAGGCATAAAATGCACATTTCTGTGTAACTTATAAACATGTGTTAAATTTTACTACCCTGAAAAAGGGAGATACGGAGGAGAAGAACAAATGAGTCTGGAGGAAGAGGTGTAACTCTAGTGTAACAGCAAAAACAGATTTTTAGTGTAGTCTCAGGCCTGACAAACTCCCTCCAGCCTTGATACAGTCCTATCTATCACAGTAGTATTGTGAAACGTGTACAAGTTTGTAGAACTAGCAGTTTATTTTGTATAACATGAAAAAGGGCCTTTTGGAAAAAATAATTACTGATTTTATTTTTTTCCCCTCATAGCAGGTGGGGGAATCAAATCTGCTGATGCTAGAAGACTGTTATGAGCTAAGGCTATCACAATCCAAATTTCCTTAAATGTGTCCCTTTTTTCCAGCTCAACGCTTTCTGTCTGGGAGGCAGAGAGATCACTGGCTGCTTGGCTTCTGTGTCCATGTGCCAGAAAACCTGCGGAGGTGCTGCTTGATCTTGCTGTGCATGTGCCATACCTTGACACAGCCCACACAGGCCGGATGTGCTGCCCTTCTGCACCAGCCTGCTGGACTCTAGGTCTAGGTCCATTGCATTGCTCTCTCGCTGTGTAGGAAATGTTCTGTGATGAGTTGGTAAATCACAGGTTGAAGCTGTGCATGCTTTATTTTGGAACATACACAGTTTACATGAGATGAAGACTTTTACAGTTTCCCCTGGTAGTAGAAGTGGCAGAGTTACACAGTTCAGCCAGTTTACAGCTCTTTTCCTTCTGATCTGCCTTTTTTTTTTTCCTTCCCTAATTTTATTCTTCTGGGATGAAATCTTGGCCCCCATAAAATCAAACAGAACAAATCTTTCACTTTTTTTGTTTTTGAATTCTTTAAATGTCAGTAAATTTCTCTGAGATGTTTGTATTTTTTCCATCAGTGCATTTGCATACATTCTTATGTTGTCAAAATGTGCTTCTATGATACTCTCTGCTCCCGAGATATGCAGTAGATAGATGTGAAAAGATGCAGTAAAACCCCTTAAATGTTAATGCCCTGGTGTGGACCCTCGTCTAATTGATATTTCTCTCCTGATAATGTAATGCAGTGTTGAATGTTCAGGCACTACGGTAACAATCATTAGAACTTCCTTTACCTATGGGTAGTTTGTACAGAAAGGCTCTTGTAGTAGCCTTCTTTCTAACCTGCATTCAGAAGGAAAGGAACCTAGAAGTTACCAAGACCAGCTCTTCTATACTTAACAACATTTTTAGGGCTGGTATGTCACATGTGATTGAAGTTACTGTTATCTCAACAAAGCCACCCTTTTCAACAGTCAGGGTGAGTTAGAGAGTATAAACTTAAATAGTATTTGTTATTTGTTCACAACTGAGTGCTCTGGCAGGGAGCAAGAGCTTTCTGTGTGGTTGGTTATTGTTAAAAAGAAGAAAATTATTTCAGAATGACAGAATTATTAGAGTTCGAAGGGGAATTGGGAGGTCTTGACTTTGAGTCCAATCTCCTGCACAAAACAAGGTTAATGCTGAACTTGGGCCAGGCTATTTGGGCTTTGCCCAGTTGGGTTTTGAAAACCTCCCAAGATGGAGATTGTACAATTTCTTTAGTTTCTTGTTCTAATGGTTGCTTAGCCTCAAAACAATTTTTTCGCTCTCCTCATAGCCAGTTGGAACCTCGTTTCAAATTATGACCACTGAGTCTCATTTGCCTGTTATACATGTCAGTAAAGAGCCTGTCTGTCTCTTCTTGGTAAACTCCACTTAAGTGTCAGAAGGTTGCTACTAGGTACCCCTAAGCCTTCTTAATTAATGCCAACTTTCTAGAGGAAGAAATGATGGAGTAATTTTAAGAACAACTTAGCAAGGCTATCAGGTGGTAAATGGTGTGTGATAATGAGAACTTTCATAGACTTTTTGGGAATATTTGAGGTGCTGGTGTAGGCACCTGAGCAAGTGATTTACTTCCCTTCAGATACCGTGTCAGCCATTTCCAACGTAGGTTCAGGTGTGTAAAGTCAGTCCAAAGCATCCTCACAGACGACTCGCTAAAGACCTGAGTACAAGTTAAAGCTGGATTTGGATGAACAGCAAAACAGACATAATTTTTTGCAACTAGAGCACTGGGTTAAATCTGAATTCCCTGCTCACATTTTTGATGCAGACAATCTCCCCCTAGGAACCTTTATAGACTCAGGGACATCAATCTGCGCATCCATAATTACAGTCTACATGCTATTACAAGGCAGCCTTGTACAAAGGCTCGTGCAGTCCTTGGAGAATTATCTAGGCCTACAGCGAGCTCCATCACAGAAAATGCAGATCTCTTTACAGATAAGGCACATCTTCCTCCAAATATAGACTAGCTTACACCCACCTTCCTAATAACAGGCTACACTTCTCTTCAGCAAGATTACACAAAATTAACCAGCAGATCCCACAAGAATACCAACAGTATGCAATACTTTGAGGCACATGCATTCTGGGATTGCTGCAAAGTACAAGGCTGTGGACAAATAAAAGTGATGTCTAGGGAAGGACACAAATTGACATAAAATATTTAATTACTTTCTCCATTTTATTTCATCAGACGTGCAAAATGATAAAGCAAAACCACAGTAATTCCAATACCTTAACCTCTACACAAACATCACTTCTTTTTTTCCCCTCAGAAAAAGTGTTCCAAATACTGGAAAAGTACCAACTACCCATCTAACAAGAAGGTATGTGAAGAAATAGCACTGATAGGTATTGCGAAATGAGGTATGATGGCAAACCTCGTACTCTACAGCTGGACATTTTTATCCCAGTTAAGGGGCAATAAATCCTCATTCAAAAGTTAACGAACACTGTTGATCAACAATTTTGATCAAGGATGAGGACTCCACCTGGAACATCTCTGAAACACAGCCACTTCAGAAGATGGGAAACTGTGGCAGAATGTATGTATCCACAAAACTACAGTGACACCAGCCGTGTTTCACCCACCATCTTGTGTTTTTCAAGGGTTCGGCAAAGGTTCACCAACACTCTGAGGGCCACCATCTGGGCCCAGTGGGTTGCTTCCCCGCTGTCCTACCGTCAGGCCGGAGACCAGACGGGAGGGTGGTACCTGCATGGAGGCAGCCCCTCCTCGAAGAGGGTCCTCCAGCTAGCGTGGACCTACCTGCCCGCGATCCGCCGGGGCACGGTGCTGCGGCGCCTCCGACGAGCGGCCGCGCGGGGCGGGAGGAACCAGGGCCGCATCCCGGAGGCGGGAAGGGCGCGCGCCGCCCGAGAGGTAGGCGGTGAAGCCCCGAGGAGCCGCCCGGGGAGCGCGGCCGTTACCCGCACGGTGCTGGGCGCGGGCGGCTGCGGCCGAGAAAGAGGAGCCGCCGCTGAGGGCAGCGGCCGCTCGTGCCCCGGCCCCCGCCCTCACGCGCGCTAACGGTCCCCGTCGCCGCGCGCCGGCCTCGCCGCCCCTCTCAGCCGCCGCGCGCAGCCGGCCCGCGCCCGCCCCGGCGCTGCCCGGCGGCCGAGCGGGAGGGCGGCGGCGCCGGCTGAGCCCGCCCCAGCGCGGCGGCTTTGTTCCGAGCGGCGCTCTCAGAGCGGGCGGTGCGGGGCCGGGGCCGGCAGCCCCGTGGGAAGGGCCGCACCCCCGCCGAGCTGATGGCGGGAGCGCGGGGAGCCCCGCGGAGCGCCCCGCCGCCGCCAGAGCCGCCGCCGCCGCCCCTGGGGGCCCGGGAGCGGGCTGGCAACGGCGGCCGGGCCACGGCGCAGTGAGCGGCGCTGGTGGCCGGCGGGGGCGCTGTGCGGGGCCGCGGGGCCTGGCAGCCCCGGCGGCGGGCGCCGAGCGAGGCGGGCGCCGGCAGCCCGCGGGGGCCCTGCCCGTCGCGGCTCGGCGCCCCGTGGAGCCCCGCGCAGCTCCCGGGCGGCCGCCCTCCGCTTGCCGGCGCCCGCCTCGCCCGGTCCCCGCCGCGGGCCGCCGAAGAGCCCTCCCGCTCCCAAACTTTGCAAAGTCTGGCAGCTCTGCCGCTGGGGCGGCCGCGGCGGCGGCTACGGCAGCAGCGGGCGGGGGCGGCGGCGGAGGAGGCGGGGGCGGAGGGGGCGGGGTGCGGGCCGGCGACGGCGGCAGCAGCATCAAAGAGCCCCGATTCCTGCCGCCCTGGGAGCCATGCACTGCTGTCTGTAATGTCAGCGGAACAGGAGAAGGACCCCATCGCTCTGAAGAGATCCCGAGGTACGAGGAGGGCCGGTGCGGGCCGGGAGGTGGCCGCTGCTGGGGCCTAACTCCCGTGCGGGGAGCTGCCGGTGCCGCGGGGTGCGAGTACCGGCCCGACCCGCCCGGCGGGCTCCCGGCCCGCAGCAGCGCAGCCCGGGCCGGGCCGCCCGCGCCCCCGCCGCCGTCCTTCCCCGCGGCTGGCGGCGGCGGGGCCGGGCGGCGCGGGAGCAGCGCTAAGTTTGCACGGTGGGGCCCGGCCGGGCCCCGCGGGCTCCCGCAGCCTCCGGGCCTGGAGCTGCAAAACTCGGGGCTGGCTTTAGGCTCAGATGTGACCCATGCGCGGAGGCGGTCGGGTGCGTGGTTATGTCTCTTGTGTTTTTCTGGATGTGCTGTCCATTAGTATGCAGCGTGCATACTGTTGGTGCAAGGGAATACGTCGGCAGTGCCACATGTCCGAGTTAGTGTTGATGCAGAGCCCATAAATCACACTTGAGTGTTCGCTCTTCTACCCCTGGTCTGGCGCTTGATTCCCGTTTTTTTGTTTTTTGTTTTTTTTTTTTTTCAGGAAACGAAAAATTTATCGAAATCCTGTTCTTTATTAATAACACTGTTGTATGGCTCTAGTGAGGTTTGAAGTACGCGTTTCTTTGAAATGGGTAAGGAGAAGTGTAGGAATACGGTATCTATTCTGACTTCGGCTGTGCAACTGACTTTAATGGCAGTAGCACGTCGGTCTGCGTACCGGTAGTTGTGCCCTTATAGTCCTTAAAAACAGAAATGCATTCTTGAATAAAATAACGAAAGACAGTAAGGTGACTGAGTTGGGTGAAAATCGTGGCAAAATGGTGAGATCTGCAATTTATTGTTTCTTTTTTCCTCGCCTCCTGTTTTGCCCCTGGAATTCTATTGTTCTTGATAGCTTTTCTATGCTTGGGTAAGTGGGGAAAGGTGTGGATTCTGCTATGCATGTTGTCATTGATTTGCAGTTTGCTTTTCTAAAACTGTTCTAGTAATAGCTGGTTTACAACCTTGAGAATGAGAGAATGAAAATACCCGGCAGTGTTACAAAGGAGACTGGGATTCATTAGACTCCTTCACTCTCAAGCCCTGATTCTGCAAATATTTAAGCACATACAGTTTCACGTGCCTGAGCTACCCACTGAGTTTCATGTGATTACCACGTAATATCAAACCTGTCTACAGTGTCAGGGCCACACAATAGGTCTGCCAAATCTGGTTGAAATGACACCCTTTTTAGGTTTCTGTCTATAATGAAAAGTTTATTCACCCATTTATGTTTCTTGGGAAAACGCTCTTACTGAGATAACCGAGTCTTACTGTTTAAAAAGACTCTGGCATCTGTCCTGTAAAAACCTAGACAGAGATTTGTCAGTGAGTATGAAAATACTCCACAGTGTATTTGCAGTATGTTAAGTATGGCATAAATTACATGCAAAGTCATAATCTCTTAATATGTAAACAAAACTCCAGGTTGCAGTTCTCCTGACCAACACTGAAAATGTCAGTCATGCACACGTATGAAGTAAGAATACAGGATTTATCTCTTTTCTGTTTCCTAAATGTAAATGGCTGAAACAAATTTTATCCATTATTTAATAAGGGAATAGTTATCAAAAATGTATTTATATCTCTAGATCCATTACATATATGATGTCTCAGTCAAAAGGATTGCATTTTTTCCTGGAAAATTAGTCTCAGACAATTAAATAATTTTTTGCACCCTTAGTACAATGTTCCAGAGTGCTTAGTACACCTTTTAATGAAAGTCTGTGTGGTAGGTACCAAAAGTGACTTTCTGAAAAGTTTATTTTGGCTGCATGAAAATGATCCTTATTCACTCCTTTTTTTGGAGGTATGCTTGGACTAACATTCTGTTTCCTTTCATGTATAAATTAAATCATTACAAAACCCACAGGGAAAATATAAATTTGTAAGGCTAAATTAAATCATTGGCCTCACACAGCGAGAACTGAAAATACAAAAGCTTTGTACCGCTCCACACATAGGACTCAGTTCTGCAAACCTAGGCATGTGAATGACTTCACCCGTGTAAGTAATTAATGTAGAAATAGGTGGAACTTGTCAATGGAATTCTAATATTCATATGCTTATGTTTTTGGAGCATTTTATGCCAGAGAGGGAATTTCTACATAATTTTATAAAGTTTTAACTTATGCTACGGTAAAACAGCACTTGCATATGATCCTCAGTATTCTACTTGACCACATATTTACTGATAACTGTGCTAACAGTTGCTGAATTTATTAAAAGAAATCTAGATATTTGTAATATTTTGCTCTCAGTGGTTAATGTCATTTATGTATTAAGAGTACAGGACCATGAACAGGAGTGTATTTCAGGTAGTTGTGAGAACTGGTGTTCATAGTACAATTTCCCACTGAATTTGTGATAAAGGTATAAGAATGCTGGAGAAGAAGCTAGTGGAAAGTGCAGGGACAGTTTTGAGCAAATAGTTTGTCAAGAAGATGATTTATAGAGTTGGAATTTAAGGGAGATTTGTCATCATTCTTTATGTTAAGCATTATGCTGTGATTATTTAGTATCTACATTAATGCAATGACAGTGCTTCATAGCACACTAAACACTTGTAGGATTTTATATTCTAAATGAAGGCAAAGAGGACTCTTCTGTTAAAGAGTAATGCCTAGGTACTCTGATGGTAGGTTATACTGTGATATGCTATGCTCAAGCATGAGTTTATTTTGAGAACATGATCGTGACTTCATGCTCTAGTCTTTGAAATTCAGATTTAAAATTTGATAGGTGTTGATTTGGGATGTTCACGTATCTTCCTTATGTATAGTGAAAAATTAAATTAAGTTTCAACAGTGGCAGCCGAAGACAAAAGGAATTTATTAAATCAGAGGCAGAATGGGATTCTTACTTGAGGTAGGACTGGTAAATTCCCAGAAACCTCAAAACAGGAGGGGTAGGAGGAAGTAAGTGCTAGGAGTTAAAATTTGTCAGGCCTCCTTTGATCAGGAGTATTTGAAATAACTGTTGGGTATTTCAGTCTCTATACAGTAGGTCTACTTCCTCCCTGTGAGAAGAGATTTTGTGTTACTTTACTAAATAATCCTAAATCTGGTTTAGTTGTCTGCTGGGAATACCCGTCTAACATAGGGCAGTGTAATGTCATACATTATGCTTCTTTTCATAATACTATTGGTAATTCACAGTTATCTCCAGGTTGCCTTTGATAACAAAGACAAACCTATGAGTTCAGCTGTGTGCTTGTGTTTTGATAGTTTGATTTGTATTCTGAATATGAGTTTTAGACAAATAGCAGTAAAATTTTTATGTTGGATTGTCCACTTTGTATTGTTCTATACTATAACTATATATACATATATTTTTTTTTTAAAGAGCAAATAAGCTATTATGTTAATGGGCCTTTCAAAAAAACTAATTACCAAACAGTTTCTTAATGTAATGATAGTATCTTAACAGGTGTTGCTCTCATATCACCCAAAAGTGATTTTCATGCTTCAGCTCAGGGTTTTCTTTGTATTCCCATATGATGGCAAATCCACTTGAGCCCCATGAAGGAACACTGATTGGAATAAGAAGAAATGTGCTAGAAATTTTTTTTTGGGGGAGTCTATGGTCTAACTAGAGTTTTAAAAATTAAAGTAATGTTTTATACAACTTTGAGAGCTTCTCCCATTATTACAAAAGGTGAAGAAGAATCCCAGGTTAAGTATATATACCCCTTTCTATTGCTTAGTCAAGTCTGACTGAATGATCAATAAAATTAACATTCTTCACTTATTTTTGGGCCAGGCCAGCCATACTCAACTATTCTGTGAGTTTTCTGCAGAGTAGGGCAGGTTCACTTAGAGTCCCTCTCATTTTTGGCAGATGTCTTTTTGTTTGATTAGGTCTTGCATTTAGTGAAACTTAGGTCTGATAAACTGGAGATCTGTCTAAACAACATCTCAGGTTTTCAGTCATTTACATTCATGGATCTACTACTGTTTGCTTTTTCCTTCATGGCATACTGTAATATACTGTTGTATATTGGTACAGTGAGTTTGATAAATACTATGTCTGTGTAAGTTAAATAGGAGGTGAATCTTAGGCGTGGTTTTAAGCAGTTCTTTTGAAAGTTTTATGCATTATGCAGACAAGAAATACTTGTAACTGCTGAAGTGGAGATGTTAAGAACCAAGGGACAGATAAACATAAAATAAATGGAAATGGTTATTCCAACTGTAATGAGCATGAATTAGACATTAAAGTGGTAATAGAGTAAGAAATCTGTGTACAAGATTTGCTAACTTTTATCTCCAGGTGTTTGCTCCTTAAGGACTTGCAATGTAAGGCACTAAAATTAATGCACGTTCAGTGTCTGTGACATAGATATCTGTTGCTGTGACAGACAGACAGAGGCAAACTTAAAATACAGTCTGTAAGAAAACTAATGCAGTATTGCACTGATTGAAATTTTGTAGGTGGTGACAGTGGATTGGATGGGTTAGGAGGACCAGGAGTACAACTTGGAAGCCCTGATAAGAAAAAGCGCAAAGCAAATACACAGGTAAATTCCCTTTGGGTCTTTTGATTTCTTAATAAACAGTGCACTCAGATGTTGTTTGCTGGTATGACTGTCCTGCATTGTTTGGAATATCAGTCTATTCTCACAAATAGCACTTACATACAAAATATTTCAGTTGTACTGTGAAGTTTAAATCTTCATAGTACTAGTTATTCTCACTGAAGTTATTTTAATCTCTGTAGGTTGCCAAAGACCTATAAAGAGAGGAGCACAGTGAGACTGCAACAACTTGTATTTTACCATCTGGATTTGATTCTGAGACAGACTTTCTTTTAATGACTTTGTAGCCATTGGTAGAAATCTGTACAGCATGAGTAGTTGCCATGAGACTACTTTTCTTCTTACTTTTATTCCTGTATGTGTAGGTTTGTGGGCTAATGGATCAGTACAGTTTGTTAATGCTTTGACCAAACTCTTGGCATATTCCCCAAGTGATTTTCAAGCAAAAGCTGTGAGGCAGGTTTGGCTTCTTTCCAGTGAATCCCTGCAATTTGGCATTTCTATACAACTTCTGTTTCCAGAAAAGGAAGCCTGAATACAAAACATGTAAAGCAATTAGATCTCTGTAGTGCAGAATTTTCCTTTGTGTGTTCATTCAGCTTTGAGTGAGAGTATCTGTTAATTTGGTACTGCCCAGTGAGAGTAATTTTATTTATGTAGGTCAAACAATCACTTTCTGTTAGACCTATCCAGATTCCATTGAGATGTGGATCTGTTTTCTTAATTTTTGTTTTGTGTTAAAGTAGTCATAGTGAAACCTGCTCTGAGAAATAATTGGTTAATTTAAGGGTTTCAGACCTTTTTCCTGTTGGAGCTTTCCTTGTGTTCTGGAATGGTGATAACTATAGAGTGTATGCAGACTAGTGTCCTCTCTTTTCTTACCAGGTTCAAAACCTGCAGCACAGCAGATTTTTTTGGGGAAAAAAAACCCATTCAGTCTTAGTTTATTAGTGTTTAGGAGGAAATGCTTTCTGTGAGCACAGTTAGCTTGAGGGTGAACCAGCTAGATGTTCCCCACAGGCTAGTCTAGAATGAAACTCAGTTGTATAGCTGCTCTGCTGACATTTAAACAGCCTCTGGGCTCCATTAAACACTTGATTATGCTCTGTAACCAGAAATGCTTGTATTTTATACCTACTAACTGTGCTTTGCAGACTGTTACAATCACTGAATGCTCATAAGGGAGACCTCTGTTTGGTACACAGAATAGAGAAAATTCCTATATTCAGGCTTCTATATTTTATATACCTTCTTAAGGTTATAGTAACACGAGGTTTGTATATCCTCATAGAAGTGGGGTGCCTTAAGAGGTGTATATTCAGTAAGATGAACCCAAAATGAAACTAAGGAAATGCTTCAAATCTGCTCATCAACATTTGGAAATATGTTGTGCATGTGTTTATGTGACACCTGGCTTTCTGTGCTGTTGGTTTTCTTATGTAAAAGATAAAGAAATAGGAGTCACATATCAAGTAGTACTTTTCAGAAGCATGGTTGTGCAACTGCACAATTTTTAAAACACTGTGATTACTATAAATCACCATGTTATCTGGAGCACAAACTCCTCTGTTGCCTCTGTGCTGAAATTTCAGACAACCTGGCAGGGTACAGCGGCTGAGCTTTACACAACAGCTGAACTGTTCTTTTAGCAGTAGTGCTGCTAATCCAGGACCTTTGTGGTTGGTCTATCTTGCAGGGAATTACTAAAACTAATTTAAATGTTGTATTTAAAATATTTTTAGGGGTCATCATTTCCTCCTCCATCTGAATATGCTCCACCGCCGAATCCAAGCTCTGACCACCTTGTAGCTGCAAATCCATTTGATGACAACTATAATACTGTGTCTTATAAACCACTTCCTTCAGGAAATCCATATTTTAGTAATCCTGGTTATCCTGGCTTTGGAGGATATAACACTTTCAGAATGCCACCTCACATGCTGCCCAGAGTGTCCTCGCCATATGGTGGTTCTTACTCCCTCAGAAACCAACCACATCCCCTTCCTCAAAACCCTGTGGGAATGGGTTTTAGTCGACCCCACTCTTTCAGCTTTGGTCCCCATGATAACCCAGGTTTTGGGAATCAACCACCTTATAGTAGTGGTCAGATAAATCAAAATGTCAATATGCCTGGTCAGCATTTCAGACCAAATCCTGGTGAGAACTTTGGCCATTCTGGTCACATACCTCACCCTGATGTGCCATCTAACTTTGGTCCTGGAAACAATCCAAATTTCCCAAATTCTCAGCTAGAGTCAAACCATTCTTTTGTTCCTCCACCAAACACGTACAACCAGACAAAATCATCAGCACAAAAGCAAGACTTTAGTCAAGGTGCAAGCAAACCAGCCAGCCAGAACACTGCTGCTCATCAGCATCATCACAGGACAGAGGACATTGTGAGTCAAGGTAACAGTGACCTAAAAAATGTTACTCGAAACAATGTGGTAAATCAGGATAATAGCCATTCTAATAGTGCTGATAACACTAATGCTGGCCATTCAAATGGGACTCAGAGTAAGTCCCGCCAGCCTCGAGGTACTGCTGAAGGATGCAACTCTGAAAAGAGCAGCAAAACACCCCTTCATCCCAGTCGTCATGGTCACTCGTCCTCTGAACCTGTCTATCCATGTGGAATTTGTACACATGAAGTTAATGATGATCAGGATGCCATCCTGTGTGAAGCCTCTTGTCAAAAATGGTTTCATCGGATCTGTACAGGCATGACTGAGTCCGCTTATGGCCTTCTTACAGCAGAAGCATCGGCAGTATGGGGTTGTGATACTTGCATGGCTGACAAAGATGTCCAGTTAATGCGTACCAGAGAGACTGCAGGACCACCTGCGTTGAATACGGATGGCTAACAATGTGAATTGGTGGTGGTGGTTGAAATACTTGCTATGAAGATTTGGTTACAAATTGGGTACTTCACTTTCTGCAGACAATCAGTTGTGTTTGATTGCTGTCATCTTTTTCTCCCTAATCTGTTTTCATTCATAAACTTCCATCTCAGCTTTGGTACTCTTAGTTTTATGTGTTGAAATTTTTTACAGGATGGAATACTTTTTTGTTTCTGATTAAACTGTAAAACATAACTGACAACTGATCTGAAGTAGGATGTGCATTGACAATTTTATTGAAGGCAAAAATGTGCCTGTATGAATACCCCCTAATTTGCTAGTGTTAATGTGTTAACTAACACTAGCATTTAGTGCTTGGTTTTAATGGTACTATATTTGCGAGTACTCATTACATTTCATTTTTTTGGGATGAATATCCATTACTGATGTTCTTGCTATCCTTTCTTTGAATATCGTTGAGATGACATGGAGGAATGTGCAGTACTAATAGTTTTTATTTTAGGGAAAATACAGAGAATTTCCTGTGTGCTTTTTCCTATTTTTGAAGTAAAGCATTAACACACTATTCAAAAATTGATGACTTGATGCTTAGTAGCACAGTGAAACCCAATAACTTTTACACATATATATTTTCTTGAAAAGGCAGTGATCTTTTTTGAGTTCTCAACAAATACTTACTTGCTGAAGATTCTTGCTAAGTCTTGCAGTATTTGGAAGTAGTTCCAAAATATGATTACGTTGGAAAAAGAACGCATCAAAGTTATGAAGTCCAGTGCTTTAAGTCTAGAGAATACCAAAACTAGGGTTGCATATGTAACCTTAATTCATTTATCTTAAGCACATACACTAGGATACAGTCTTTGCATCTGTCATGGTTGTGCAGTCATGCACATTTCTCTCATCCTTTCTGATAGATGGTTCTAGTTTCCTGCCTCAGTGCTGCCTGAGAATTGTGAATGAATTAGTGCAGGGAAAGTCCTGCCCATCTTCTTGGGCTTCCATCTAGAGCCTGCTCTGTCCTCCTGAGCTTACACAGTCCACTTGGCATGAAGGAGAGCGCAAGGCAACGGAGTGTGCTCAGCACAGGCTCTGAATTGCAAGATAATTTGTCCAGCAAAGTCTTAAAACTGAATTCCCACCACTGTCTCAGCCAGCTTTCACATCAGATGAGTTTAGCTCACATCAGGAGCAAGTAATCATAAGTTTAGCTTCTTGATATCCTACTGACAAGTATAAATGGCACTAGAGTTTCATGTGTGATGCTAAGAATTCTGTTTTAATATGGGTAATTTGATCTTATTCTTGTTCTCAAAAATACTCTCTCCCCCCCCCCCCCCCCCCCCCCCCCCCTTTTAGTGTGGGGAAACGTCTAGCTGTGAAGACTTCAGCCTTAGCAATGTGATAAAGTTGCATATACAACTGAAAATGATTATTTCTGTAGAGAGAAGTGTTGTTTTAACTTAATAAAAGGTGTCACTGTAATAACAGACTCTGCTTATAATACTCACTACTGTGCTGGAAACTTACAGTTTTTAAACAGTCAGCAATTAAATCATGTCAAGCATTACAGGTACTCGTTGTGTTCCTTAATGTGACAAATTGTTCAGGTCTGTGGTGATGAGTGATGTAGGAGCCTACATAGAATACAGTAATCTGTATAAAGAGATAGCTTTTATGGTAAGCTATGCCAATGAGTGAAAAGTGAGGCCTGATTGGTAGGTAGTTCACCATTGTGTCTGATTTTAAATGGGCTCTACTGTGGCACTTTACTGGAAGATACTGTGCAGATCTGCATAACTGCCCTTGTTTTATTTTAAAAGTGAAAAGTTTTATATACTCTTCTACTGGAGAAGTGCAGTATTGCCCTCCTTCTTTGTCTTGCCTCTCATCAGGAAAAAGGAAATGTCTAAAGTTTAATTGACACAATTCATGTTTTGAGGATTTCCTATAGGGAGATGTAAAGAAAACGTAAGGCAGGTCCAGGGCTTCTTTTTGCATCACTATTTTCTTTATTTAGTACAGAGACTAAATTTAAACTTGTTTTGTTAGAAGTGTGATATTTAAAAACAGACAAAAAACCAACCAAGCAACAACCTCAGAGAGATTTATTCTTCCGTACTTTTCCTAATGACTGACCAACTGTTAGAATTTGCTTTTGGTGTCTAAAGTATAAATTAAACCAAACCTTGTTTAGATAGATTTGTTCCTCTGGGGATCAGTTTAATCTGTGCAACAGTTTGCACTATGAAGGTAGTGGAGCTGGTTCAGACCTACAGCAATGTAAATAAAAAAACCATTTTGCTCAGTGAAAATCCATCAAAAGCTCCAATTATGATATTGGTATCCAAGTGTGCTGTTCACAATACCTTTCTCACTCCCACACCCCATTCGTGTTGTGAGAAGATGTTTGGGGCATTTGTTTTCAGAAGTCCAATTAATGTTTTAACATTTTGGAGCACACATTGCATTTAAAATAGCCATGTATTTCTTAATCTCTTCTTCAACCCTACATGAAGTTAGGCAAGTGTTTTCTATATTAGCTAGCAAGACATTAGAGTTTAAATATAGTGTTCTTAAAGACTTAAAATCAACTGGAGTATCATTTGATAAGGCCTTAAACTGTATTTGTGAAACTTATTCTAACAATTTATTTCAGCTTCTCTAAACTGGTACTATGTTGGATTTGTAACCCAGTAAATTTTCTGCATTTATTAACCTTCAAATATAAGGTATTAGCAAATGCCAATTATATAAAATAAAAATAAATGAACAACAAAACCAAACTTATTATCACACTGATCATAGAGATACAACTGATTAGGATCTCCAAAAGTCATCCAATCAATACACTTGCCCTACTGATATGCTTTTGGCATACCTGGACTCTTTATCTAGAGAGGGGATTATACTTTGTTTTTCTCTGCATGTATTGACTAGTAGTAGTTCAAGTCTGCACAGGAAAACCAACAATCATGTTTTGTTAGTAAGGTACTAGGAAAATGTCAGCTGGTTAGAATTAGAAATTAGTTATAGAAGAGTGGGTGGGAGGGAGGGTTGATTAGAATAGGTGAGGTTTTTTTGTAATACTCTACATGAAACAATTTGTAATGAACTATCATGTGCTTCTTTCATTACTAGTGATTTAGGCTGTACTGGTGCTGCACACCAAAAATACTGCAAAGATTTTGTAAATCTTACAAACCGTAATATTTTTGTGGAAAATACTGTGTCCTTTTGAAATAGCTCCTTGTCATGGTCAGAAATGCAGCCTATATTGCCCAAAATGTTCTTTTTCTTTTTTACCCCCCTCAGCTGAAATAAATAGATACAAGCTGGATTTAACTGTCCTTAATACTTAGTTTTTTTGTCAGAGAGCAGTTTTAAATGAGAAAACATTTAATTTGCTCTTTAAAAACTTGTTTTATTGATGTTAGGGTGACACTGCTGCATGTAGGCTAGAGGGTAGGTACCAAAAATCCCGTTTCTGGCTTTTTTATTAAGCCCTTCTATAACTTGAGACAAGCAGGTTAACTATGCCTCAATCTCTTCTTTCAGGAGATCGGACTAACACTTACTTCTTAAAGGTGTTTAGAGGCCTAGTTATTATTTGAGATATTCAAATGAAAGAGATTAGAGAAAAGTAATAAAGTTTGCTCTATTTGAAACAAAACTATAATTTTGGGGGATGCTCAAAGAAGAGTATGCTTTGTGACCTCTGATGTTTTTCAGCTAAGAAGCAGTCTTGTAATCGTACTTTTCAGGCTTAACATCAAGTATGTAAGAATTAACCAAGTCAGTGGAACGACATGCACAGAGTCAAGAATGTTTCAAAGTGTTTGCAGTTCAGGGCGTATGATATTTGCAAGTGAAATGCTTTTTATGGTTTGAGATTTTTACAAAATCAGTGGTGTTCAAATGTAGCACCTTTTTAACATTTGTCTTTATTCCAACTTAATACGATAACACATCTGCATTAAATATATCCCTTTCATTTTATAAATAAACATTGCCTGGCAGTAAAAGTATTTGGTGTAACATTTTTAAAAAAGGAAGTCATGCTTCTTATCATGTTGTATGTGACTTAAATGACTGTTTCATATTAAAACTAATCTTTCCTTATGTACTGCTTAAATATACCTGTTTTGGGATATCAGTTCAGTACTTTTTATACAATCTTGAATGTGTTCCACATTGGTGACATGTATTTTTGCAACAACTTTTTTGTTTCAATTTTAAATTAGAGCATGTCTGAAGTAATACATGCATTAGTGCTGTGGTGTGTGGCAAAGTTAATGTATGTAATTCAAATTGGAAAAAAGTTTCCAGACTTTGTCCAGCATTAACCCTGTGGCCAGGGATTAAATTACTATGTAATACAAATTATTTCATATCACGATGTGTTTTAAGCTACTCTATGAAGTATGTGAAACATTATTGTTTATGGATTGGTAGCTTGCGTGGTATCTTGCATAGAATGAGGTATGATAGATGGTAGCAATTCATGGTAATTAAAACTGACTACCTTTCAGAACATGCAGTACTTACGTGCATTGTCATCTTATTGCCATAACTGTTAGTATGAATTTCTTAATTTTATCCACTGACAAATGGGTGAACATTTGGTAATAAGCTCATGGGTGTGAAAATTCTATTCTAACATTCTTTACTTGGTTTATAAAACCTGTAATTTTTTAATCTATTGGATGTGATTAGATATATGCAGGAGGATGTAGAACTGATGTATTTTAAAGTTATTCTGCAATTACTAAGTTTTGTCTGAAGCTTTCTATATTAGAATAGACTCTTCCTTAAAATTGGAAAATTAAGTGTACTTAGCAGAACTTTTAACGCAATATAACTCTCCTATACTACATCTTGAGTTATGCACATTCACTTCTTTGTATAGAACTCCTCTGATTTCTTGTTGGCTTATGCTTTATATGGAAATAAAGGGCCCCTTTAGTGCCCTAGTGTTGTGTCATCAGTTCTGAGGTAACTAACTTTGAATGATATTCAGCCCTTTAGAGGTGCTGCCTACAGCTTAAAGTATTCAATGTCACCCTTAGTTTCCTGGTTCAGAAATGGCTTATCCCAACATCATAAGGAATACCTATTTTTGTATTGTTTGCCATATATGATTAGTTTTCCTTTTCATGTTCTCATGTTTTCATGTTCAAACTGTTTGTCCTAAAATAATTTTTGATCCAACCCAACCTTTTTACTCAGAGGTTTGTGAACTGTAATTCAGTAATTGCTGTATTGGAGGCAGTTTGGAATTGGAGTCATCTCCTCTTCTAAAGGATGGTCTAAATCTGAACTTCCATATATTTTAAAGAGGGCAAGCCTTTAATATATTTCTCTTTTTTTTTTTTTTTTCCTTGATACTTTTTCTGAAATGTGAAATAATATGGAGTTGTTGAGGGATTTTTATTTAAAAGACAGTCTCTCTTCCAAGCTTTTGTATATGGGCTTTAGAGCTGACAATGTGTTCTTTAGGGTTTTCTGACTTGGAATTTTTTTGTCCACATTCTCCTTTCAGTGTTAAAGATGAGTTGAAAAAGGCAAGTTACCAATCTACTGCCATCCAAACAGTGCAAAATATAAAATGAATAAGACTGTTGACATCTAGGTTTTTTTTTTTTTTAATAATGATGTGATATTTTACCTTTTAGAAGAGCATATATCAGAATCTGATTCGAGTGTTCTTGGAAAATGTATATGGTAGGTTCTGTCCAGCACTCTATGTAACTGTTGCTTTCTGATGTCTGGTTTCAGTTTCTTTTAAAATAAAGATCATTTTTGTGGGGAAGTTGCCTGTTGATTTTATGAAGGTGATGTAATGCCTAAATTAACTCCTCTAATGTTTTGGCAGTGAGAATGCATTTGGATTAGGCATAATCCTGCAAGAAACAGTATGAGGTTGTATTGATCAAAAAAGAGCTCCTGCCTCTCTTGGAGAGGTCTGCTGTTCTGTAAGGGCATTAATCTGAAGTAACTTCAAAGCAGATTAGAAGAAGTTTTGTACCATAAGCCCTATTCCTTTCTCACAAGGTGGGAAGGAAGGCTCAGGTACCATTTAGCTGAATAGATTTTTTTTTTTAAGAGCTTTCTGCACTTGGGAAGAGATTATACAAAGAATTATAAGAATTATTTATTCTAATTTATAAGATTGTTACTAATCTATTCCTGTTTGTTGAAATGCTAGAACGAACACCTAACAAATCAGTATTTTACCAAGAATTTTGGTGGTATGGTCCCAAGCTATACATGCAAAACAGTTAGTTGGAATAAATTGCATCTCCTAAAATGTTCCAGCTCTTAAAAAATATGGACGGATGAGAGAAATGAGAGAGAATTTAGAAATTTAGAAAGGATGGGAAAAAAAGGGTTATATATTAAATTAAAGAAAATGTAAACTATTTAAAGGATTTCCACACACCCCACCCCACCCCCCCATATATTGAAGCCTCTGAAGCCATTGCAAGTGAAATAACTCTTGGAAGAGATGTATGTATATATTGGCAACTGGGAGATCCAGAGCATTAGTAATATTATTAAGATTTGACTGGAATATAAATCTCCATCCTTCATAGCACAAGAGATGGGAATTTAAAGTGTTCCAGGGGAAATTTGATCTCCTTTCACTACAAAGTTTCTTGCACTTTTGACTGATAAGTTAGTGAATGGACCTCTGGTTTGGTTTATTTTGCAAAGGTGTCATAGTGAGAGCTTGGTCATTTGTCCAAGTAAGCTAGCAATGTAGAATGTATATGACACAGGTGGTGTTCCTGCAGATACACATCAATATGAGACTTTGAAGGTTAATCCAAGATCTTGTTCAGTCCATTTTACGTATTTTAGCAGCTAAAACTTATATTTTGAGTTAGAAATGTGTTAGTGACATTTACTGTGTCTTCTACAAGTGAAATACACAGCTTTGCATTGGAGATCTAGCTTTTAAATAGACTTTTTTGTTAATGTATTGGAGCCATTTTGTGTAACTTGAGAACACCAAATACAGGTAACCATAAAAGTGTCTTGTCTTGAAAAGTGTGTATACACAGTATGTTCTTTCTGGCAGGAATGGATAATAACCTGCTTCATTTCAGTATATTCTCTGTGATTAAGTGACATCTGGATGACCAAGGCAGAAGACCAGGATGCAACAAATCTAAGATTTTTATTGTCTGTGAATGAACTCTTCAAAACTGAAGGATTGTGTTCTGGATGACTACAGTTGCCTTCTGGAGTGGTAGGAAATTTTGAGTTACTATTACATTATAATCATCCTAGCCAATGCTCCTATTGGAACACCCTGATTTAAAACAAAACAAAACACTATCCTCTCCAACCCCCAACTCTTCCATTACTTCATCTAGAACGCAGGCAAATAGGATTTTGACTACTGTATGCAGTTTTGGCCTTTCCATTTTCAATATAGTAGAACTGGGAAAGTTTCAGAGGTCAGCAAGGAAGATAAAGCTATGTAAAAGAAATGTCAGCAAGCTGAGAGTCTTTCTAGGAAAAAAGAACATCTCTTAGAATGGAGGAAGGTCTATAAAAACCCGAGTGACACAGAAGGGGTGTTTAGAACTTCCTTGTTTCATACTTGTCTGCACTTGCCTGAAGTTTGTCTTGCAATAGAGACAACTAAGATATTCAATAAAGGTAACAGGAGGCAAGTTTGAAACAAACAGGAGTTTTGTTCTCAAAGGGATAATCTTTCCTCAGCTTTTATTTACTTACTTATTTTTTCTTACAGTTTCTTAGACTGATAGTCTGTTTATGAAGACATCACAGTTTAGGTTCAGAACTATAAACCACAGAAGTCTCCTCTTCTGCCGCTGCAGATGACAGCAAGGCTCCTTATGCCACGGTGCAGTTCCACTGTGTCTGAAAGTATGTATCGTGCAAGGTTTAAAAATACCAAGTCACATGTGCCAAAAATACCTAAAGCATTTTGATTTTCAGTTAAATCTTTTTCCTCTTGTACTTTTGCATGCTCTTGGAATGAGGAAATTAATGTAGTTCTTAGATTCCAGTCCATGCAAGATTCATCCAAATGATACTGATGTGAGTGAGTGAGGGTGGAGGATAACCCAGAAGTCATACCAGTTATGTTGGATTTCTTGCTCTGAAAAAGTTTTAAACCTCTGTGGTATCTACTTTTCTCTCTCTCTCTCTATATATATATATACATATATATACACACACACACAATTTAATAGTAACCTAGTAACCACTACCATTTGAACATTGCTTTGGAATATAGATAATAGAACATAATTAAATATTCAGTGATACACATCAGAAATCTTAGCTAATGTGTGGAATATTAAACTCAATTTTCCTTGGTCATATTTTAAAAGAAAGTAAAGGAGGAAAACTGGACTTTGTGGTTCTGGATTTTTTCCAAGTAGTTCTAAGTAATTGTATTCTTTTGAGGGATTTAAACATACCTGAATATTTATCCAAATGTGTTTGGCTCACATTTAACTCATACTCTCCCCAGAAGCAGTTGCTTTCTGTACACTAGACTTTATTTTGGCAGATACAGTGTTACTGTTTGTTTGAGGAAAGTTGAGCAACAGTGTGCAAATTACCTCCCCAGTTTTGGCAAAGTCAGCAGAATAGACAGTATTGCAAGGCAATAGCATGGAGCTGCCAGCATGACCTAATTATTTTAACCGGACATCTGGAAGTTTCAGTGTATTGCTAAATCAGTCCTCAGCTTTTAATAGTTTTTACCAGAAATTGTCCGTCTCTGTGGAAACGTATGTGGATAATAAGAGCTGCATTCCTTCCTACTCTGCTCAGGTGTGAGTGATGAAAACCAGAACAGCACCTTACACACACTGGATCTCGGTAAGTCAGTGGGCCAGTGCCAACAGTGGGATTTCTATCACGCTAAGTTTTAGAAAGTCAAAACCACCGTACGTTTGCTTAACTTGCTGCACAGGTTGCTTTGAGCTGCTGAGGCAGTTTTCGTTCTTTCAGACTGCAGGGAGGACTGGCAGGAAAAAGCGCCTCGCCTGCACCCCGCCTTTCTCCTCCTCCTCGGGCGGCAGGGGAGCCCTGTGGACGGCAGGCTCGGTGGGAGCGGCGGCTGCCCGCTGCCGCCGTTGTTGGGTGCCGGGAACTCCGCTCCAGAGCCGTGGGGTGCCGGGGGCGGGGGGGAGAGGCGTGCGAACCACATCTCCCAGCGTGCACCGCGGCTCGCCCTGCCCCCTCTGCGCGGGGCGCCATTGGCCATGGCCGGGGGTTGGGCCCGCCGGCAGCTTCCGGGGGCAGCGCGGGGGCGGTCCCGGAAGTGCTCCCGGGCAGCCGCGGAAGCTCTCCTGCTCCTAGCAACGGCGGCGGCGCGCCCGTAGCAACGGGCAGCCATGCCGGTGTGGCTGCGGGAGTACAGCTGGCGGCAGACTGGCTCCACCGTGTACCTCTCGCTGCCGTTGCGCGGCGGGCGGGCCACCCCCGCCAGCATCTTCTGCACTGACCAGTACTTGAAGGTGGGGAGGCCGCGCCCTGCCCTCCCCGGTCTCACGGGCCTTCTGACGTGCGGAACCGCTGCCTTGAGATCAGTTGTGCCCGGGGGCCTGTGGCGTGGTGGTACCTTATAGCTCTGTCAAAAAGCACCCGCTTAATACACCATGGCAGCGCTATCAAGTTTATACTCTTTTATCATAGCTGGTCTATAATCTCCCTTTTTATGCTGCAGGCTGGTAAATACCGATCCTGCTAGAGTTAATGGTTTTACTACTGTTCATTCTCTGTCTGAATGCTCCTTTTGTTCAACAGGTGTCAGCTGCCTGTCCTCTAAATGACCCGATTCACGTCTACTTAGATTAGGAATAATAATTGTAAATTTGAGGTCCATAGTTTCCGTTGCAGTGCTGAGGAACGAACTTTTAAAATCTCTTATCTGTTCTTAATAAAATATTAGCTTTGTCAACAGCATGTGTTTCTTGAGGTTTACTGTATGTTTGTATTGAGTATTCTGAATATGTGAGATTTAATTAAAAGTTATAAATATTAGTACAAATTAATTATATTTTTATAGGTAAGCATCCCTCCCTTTTTATTTGAAGCTGTTTTATATGCTCCTATTGATGACACAAATAGCACCGCAAAAATTGGAAATGGAATAATTTTCTTCACTTTGTATAAAAAAGAAGTGGCCATGTGGGATTCCCTAACACTAGCAAATGGTAAGTTCTCTATTGTGAAAAGTAGATTGCATGTAAGAAACCCAAACTGTGCCAAAACTTTGCAAACTGTAATAAGGAATGTAAAACTTCTGCTGCTAGATATTTACTAAGTTAAACCTTGTTGTTCATAGTTAAAAATAGAAAGTATATGAAAACAGACAAAGAACAATTACAGGCTCTAGTGTGCACAAAACAGTGTTTATTGTAAAAATGACATTTTGTGTGTAAGGGAATCTCATTTTTTCTTTTTTAGAGATGGGCTTGATAAGAGACTGCTTTGTGGAATTTGAACCATGTAGCATTTTCCCAGACAAAGTAGCAAAAGGGATCATGTTTTTATGAATATGGTACATAACAATAGAACTTCAGGCTTAAATTACTAATATAGTTTTTGCTTGTTTTTTAAGTTAACAAGGAGAAACTGCAATATCTAAGAGAGAATGCTGTTCTAAAAGCCCATGAAAAGGCAAAAGAGGAGACGGAAGCAAAAAAAGTTACAAAACAGGAACACAAAAAATATGCTTTGGAAGCCACAATGAAGGTAAGCTTAGAAGGATCTCTACAAGACACATTTAAGTAACTACCAACTAATCTGGCAGCTGCTTGGTTACATTTATACCTTAAAAATATGAAAAATACTAATTTTTATTACAGTGGTGGAGAACCTTGTTATTTCCTTGTACTTACAAAGTCTCTATTACCATATATGAAAGCGATATAGAAAAAATACTTAGAAGTTGCCATTTTCCACTAGTAATACTAATTAAAGCTTTTGGTAAGGAGCTCAGATTTTTGTCAGTTGAAAGGAGACTACAGTAATGTGGGGAAACTGTAATCTTTTGTGGCCTTTGCATCAGCTCAAGTGTTTAGTCATTTAGCACTGTCAAAAATACCGATTTTAAAAAAAGCTTAATTATTCATTGTTATATTTTATATCAGATTTGCTGTTCATTGCCTTTTGTGTGTGTGTCTTTGTATCTTTGTTCTGCGTTTTATGGGTTTTGTAAGATATGTTCTTCAAAATTTTTATGTATATAAAAAGTCTGATTGTTTAATTTGTGTTTTAAAGGATTTTTTTAAAGTATACAATGACTTTTTAAGATTATATATGCAATTTGGACTAAAATGAACTGCAGTCAGTGACTTTCTCAGTATCAATGTTGTACCTATTCTGCCTATGCAATAATCTCAAAGAGAAGAGAAGAAATAAGAAATAGGGTATTAAAATGAAGCCATATATTTTACATTTCTGGATATTCCAGAGATCTGCATTGGGACATGACTAGGATTTTCATTGTTTACAAGTAAAACTTATTTCTGAATGTTTTTGGATCACACTTTAGTAGTGGTAGTAAAATAGTTGAAGGATATGACTTCTGAATGTTTCTGGATCACACCTTAGTAGTGGTAGTAAAATAGTCAAAGGATATGACTTCTGAATGTTTCTGGATCACACCTTAGTAGTGGTAGTAAAATAGTCAAAGGATATGACTTATAAAAAGTAATCAGAAATCTTTACTCTCCCAATCATTTTTAAGCATCTTTCATAGCTCCACTTGTACAATCACATTAACAGTGATGCTATGCTTGGGGTATGAAACTGGGAAAATAATAGTGACTTTTACTTAGTCATCTTACTATTATCAGATGCGAGGTATCTCATAGGTTTATCATTCAAACAGCTAGAAGAAGCAGAAAGAAAAAGAATTGAAGATCTAAAAGAAAAGGAGCGGCAGAAGGTCACTAAGGAGTTGGAGTTATGGGAAAACCAGCAAAAAGATGCTGAAAAACAGAAGGAGGTACAAAAAGAAGGGGAACTACATCATGAAGTGGAGCAACTAAAGGAGAAGAAAAAGGAAAAAATTGGCCAAACTAGGATTCCTAATGAAGGAACTTCAAAGGCCAGATTCAAACCTACTAAAGGTTGTATTACTGAAGTGTATTTTACCATTCCTTAAAGTGTGGGTATACCTTTATTCCTAGATGTTTTTAATTCATCATTTATCTTTGTTTCCACCACTCTCAACTAGTTCTTTTCATTTGCACTTATTTTAGTGTCTTTATTTTCAGGGAATTTATTGAGCTAAAGCATGTGAGTTCTTAGCTCTCATTTAAGTCTTTGGACATACAAGGGCAGGTTTGTTCTAAGATTTAGAAAAGTAAACCAGAAAGCCTTTATGACAGTGTAAGGGTGGAGTTCACATTTTCCGAAGTTGTCTAACTGATGGTTTTCACAGACATACAGTCTCCTTTTACTCTCTCTATTCCATGTCTTGGCCCCACAAAAAGTCAATTCAGGGAACTAAAACAACAGAAACAATTTCATTTTTGTTTTGTTTGTTTTGGTGAGGTTAGTTTTAGCTTTTGCAGTTGCCCTGTCAGAGAATCACATAAGTGACAGAGACAGTGGTGTAAGAGGAGTTTAAGTTCATTTGTGACACATAATGTAGCCAGTAAATAGATGTCATGAGACAGCAAGAGCAAACATTTTTTTTGAACTTTCCCTTCAAAAGAACAAGCCTAAACCTTTCTTAAGCTATTAGAGGCTTGGTTCTAAGGTGCAGAATTTCTAAATTAGGTGTACTTTGGACTTTGGTAGAAAGCCAGACAAATCTCTTTTGCTTCATTTTTCACTTCCAGTACTCCCATTATTTTCATAGGTCATGGTTCCTATAGCATGTTTTCAGAAAATTTAAAGGAAGAACAGTTACCAGCTCCTCGCTCTGCTGCTACAATTAAAATTAACTTTACAGCACGAGTTTTTCCTACAGCTCTGAGAGAATCTCGCATCGCAGAAGAGGAGGAGGTAAGGATTGCTCTCTGTTTTCGTATGATGCTTCCACTGTCTTCCAAAGTGGCAAATGATTTACCATGTATTCAGTAAGTTGACAGAAATGTTACCTGTGCAATATTCTTATCTTCCAAGGAAGGCAGTCTTGTTAACATTAAGATTTAAATAAAAACTTGTATAGAAAAATTATTTTCACCAAGGATGTGATTGTGCAGATTAATAAATAGCATGTTCCTTTTTTGGGGAGGTGGGAAAAAAAAAAGTAACTATTAATTGAATTCCTTGAAGTACAAAATTTGAAATGTCTTCACTCTTATATTTAATATTCTTTAAGTTCTGTTTTCTTAAGAAGCAGCTCACAGTTAGCTCTTTTGAGTTCTGTTGAATGAACACAGTCATTTTGGAAATTCCAAAGCAAACAAGCAAACAAAAATGTATTAGTCATGCAGTAACCTTACTTCTCACATACTAATAAACTATTTGGGGAAACTTGGAAGTTTTTCATATCAGAAGTATTTCTCTCTGTCCAAAATATGTGGCAAATAGAATTATTTTGATAGGAGCGAGTGAAAAGATGAAAGCAAAATCCTTCTTTAGATTTGAATTTTCCTTCAGAAATAATTCTTGCACGTTGTATATTTACAGTGGCTACGTAAACAAGCAGAAGCTCGAAGAACAATAAGTGCTGATTTGTCTGAGCTGGAAGATTTAAAAGAAGAGGAGAAGAATCCAGACTGGTTAAAGGACAAAGGAAAGTAAGCTAGATTCCATTTGAAGATGTATTGAAAATGAAATATTAGTTATATAGTGTGTGTCTATTTTTTAGTTTTGATATTTTCTATTTGTCATAGATACAAATGGTGAATGTCTGTGTAGTAAAGAATTTACTGACAGATTACGGGGTTTGAATCTGATAGTCATGAGATGCAATTGCTGAAGCTCATGATGGACAAAATAATTGTGAACATATAATGCATAGTTTTCTATGAGGACAGCTAAGTCAGTGCAATATTATGTGTAGGTGGATTTCCTTTCATCTGTACTTTATTGAGAGGTTAAACATCTGTCTAAAACAAACTGTAGGAATTTGATAGAAATATTAGTAAGTTTATAGTGTTGTGTTATACAGAAGGGTTTGATTAAGCAATAGTAATCAAATACATAGCTTTGAAAATCAGTCCTGTGTCTGGGTACATGTGTTCATCTCTTACTGTTCTTCATTGCTTTTAAGCAATGACTCTTTTTGCCAAGTTGTGTGTCTATATGCTATATTGTCAGCATGAAGTTTGACTGAACTTCAGCTATGTTGTTCTCAGAAAAGGCTGTAAATGGCCATTTCCAAGGAAAAGCTGCTAAAACTTCAAATTTTTGAAAAGGAATTGTTAACAATAATTAGGTATTTATTTTGTGATTTAACACCTTATTTAAAATGCACCTTTCACTTTTTGTTTTATATTTAGCAAAATGTTTGCAACAGGAAACTATCTTGCAGCTGCAAACGCATATAACCTCGCAGTGCGGCTAAACAATAAGCTTCCCCTACTTTATCTGAATCGTGCTGCTTGCCACCTTAAACTGAGAAATTTACATAAAGTCATTGAAGATTCCTCTAAGGTATAAATACATAGGTTTTCTGTCTGTCATCTTATACATGGTTGTGATGGTTTTGTTTCAAGCAGATCTGAAAATACTTATTAGTGCAATTCAAAATTTTAAAATTCAAAATTGATATAATGAAGCCATGGTAAAATACTAAAATTTGATAGTGTTTGATTAATGAACTTTCAGAAACTTAAACCAGAACAGCAGCCTAAAAAAACCCACACCATGCTTCCAAACATTTGGGATGAATGGCCATATGTTGACTCAGTACATGTTTCTTTACAGGTAAAATACTGTAGCAATATATACACTAAAAAAAAAAAACCAAATGACAACTTTGAGCACAAAAAAAGGAAAGAAAATATACACAGATACCTTTTGTAACATGTTGTGGTGTTCTTCATTTGGTGGGAATTAAAAAAAAAGTAGTGGTGATGAGGAGGATACCTTAAAAAAATCCCAACAAATGACATTTTTAAAGAAGAGCTGTGTTATCTTGATGTTTTAGCAGCCTTTATGTGTGCTATGTGAGAGGAGTGATCTCAAATGGCACCTGAATAATTTGGAGAAAGTTTTCTGTAATTTTTTTTTTGAACTAGTAAGTACTTGAGGCTTGAAACTTGTGTTTTTTTCTAGTAATTACTGCTACAACACGTGCTTTTTTAGGGCTGTTGCCTTTTTTTTTTTTTTTTTTTTTCTTTTGTAGCATAGTATGGTGTATCATGTATGAAAACAGAATACATCATTTGACTGCAATAAACATTTAACACAGTATTTATTGGTTTTTAGCTATGGCAATGAAACTGTATTTAGCAAACTGTGGGGTGACGGATGCAAATCTTAATGACCAGATTCACAAGCCATATAGTTAAATTTTAATTTTCTATTTCTATTTGAACAGTTACTATGTTACTGTATAATAAGAGTAATTAGGTGAGAGAAGTGTGTGTAAATGAGAAGAAAACAAAATTATGGAAAATCTACCTCTAAGTATTTTGGGTGTTTTCATTTCTATAGGCACTAGAACTGCTGACACCACCTGTTCCTGATAATGAGAATGCTCGAGTAAAAGCATATGTGAGACGTGGAACAGCGTTTTGTCAGCTGGAATTATATGCTGAAGGTGAGACTTTGATTTTGTGAAAACATGCACATGGATTTATAGTGACATGTAGGTAATTCTGTTTAGCTCAATGAGACTGCTCACACCTTTATTTTTTCAGGAGGCATGTTAAAGGAGGCCTATGCAATCTATATCTCTTTTTGTTAAGAGAATTATCACATTCCTTAATTTTTAAATTTGATTTACTGGCTAATTGCAATTCTACTTGAAAAATCTTTACAAGTGTTAAGAAAAGTGACTGTATTCCTAATTTAAGGAGTAAAAATTAATTTTTCCATTGAGGAAAAGGCTCTAGCCTCTGTTTGGTCTCTTGGTCTATTGGGTCAGTCTTTCTTGTGCATAGAGGCTTGGTGGCCAGGGAAGGTGTTGGTGAAGAATTAATGAGAGGTCAGAGAGGAGGTGTTTGCATTGGGAAGCATTCAAATGTAGGATGCAAACTGATGTGAAACTAGGTTGCACTAGTTTTGCTGTTCATGAAGCAATGTTTTATTGGCTTTGAGATTATATTTACAGCATTTCCAAATATAGAGCAAATTAACTTAAAACAACCTGAAATATTTCTAAAATACTTTCTTATGAAGTGCTTAGTAATGTATCTTTGTAAAATGATGTATGAAACCTGTATTGATGATCAAAATGTTTCAAGTACATAAGATTTGTGTGAAAATAGCTGAATTAAGTGTCCTACTGGGTTCTCTAAGAATACCAGTTTACTTTTGTAAGGCAAATCTACAAGTGAAAGCTGATAATAGAAAGTGAAGAATATTCAAAATTTCTGTGTTGAAATACTAAGCTTTTCCTATCTGTAACCTTTTTCTACCAATGAATCCCCTTATCATTCCCTTACAGTTTCATTTGCACTTGGAAGCCTCATAAAAAGACAATTAAACAAGATTTTATTTTACTTCCTATACTCATGGTTTGCCTTTTCCCCCCCCAAGATCTAGTATTCACAGTTCATGGGTTTTTTTCTTTTTCTTGCTTTCATGCACTGCCATTATGTTAATCGATTTTTTTTCTCTTCTGCAAAACACTTCTGAACACTCCCCTCATGTACGTGTGTGCATATATATATATGTGTGTGAATTTAGAGGCTCTGCTTTCATGTTTCAATACCTGAAAATGTTTATGTAGTAGAGTGTTTCCAGTAAAATATTTTGTAAAAAAATATAAACAAAATATAAATTTATTTACTGACAAAAGTTAAACCTAATGTAATTCTTATTCCATCTTGCTCAGTAGCAAAACTCAAGATGAATATATTATGCATAGAACTAGGGAGTAGTTATTTCCCATTAGTTGCTGAAAAGGATGCACTTGCATTATTGATTGACTTTCTTAATAAATGTATTAGGTCTCCAGGATTATGAAGCAGCTCTCAAGATTGATCCTAAAAATGAAACTATAGAAAAAGATGCTGAGAAGATTCGACACCTAATTCAAGGAACAATGCAAGATTATTAATTAAAAAAAAAAAAAACAACAAAACAAAACAACAAAACAAATCAAAAACTTTTTGACAGGGATGCTTTTTGGGGGCATCAGAAGGAATCTTAGTTCTCTTCAATATGTTGTTAACTAGACATTTTTCTGTTTCACTCAAAACACCTACAGAATTGTAAAGGACTGGATATATGAATTGCTATTTTTGGAAAGTATAGCATTATAACAAATATTATTAGATATATTTTATATCATTTTGATACAAACTTGTCATATTTTTGCTTTCTGTGACATATTGGTAGGCTAAATATTAAAACATGCTTTTGGTACTTGATTTGAAGTTACTCATAACTAAGTGAAATATTTGTCTGGAAATATCTACTGAATCAGACAATGAGTTTTCAAACAACTTCAGTAGCTCCATATAGTCAACACCTATTAAATTCTATCTTTCTGTTCTCCACCAAAGCTTAAACAGTTGTGTTATATGGTTGTGGTTATATGCTTTCTTCTTTTCTTATTGTTCATGCTGTGTTTGGCACATCTGAAACTAAGACAGTGAATTTAGAGACTCTAATTCAGGCATCTACTTTGGAAAACCTCCACCTGGAAGCATAGAGGTAGATTTTAAGTCATGCAGAACATTCTTTTTAAAATTAAGGAATATATGTTGAATATTTTAAGACTATTCTGAAACATTTGTTTGGGCTGACAAAACAAGGTAATTGGAAAAATTATGAACCTGTAGTGTTGTATTGTAGTGGTAAATTAATCTTGTGATAAATAGTCCTATCAACGCATATTACTTCTTCCATCCTACTACAATTAGTAATTTTACAGTGTAGCTGTAAAGCACATTCTAAATCAAAGCCATTGTTGTTTATATGAGAATATATATTTTTCTTGAGCTAGTGTTTTAACTTGTACTCTGACATTGGTCAGTATCTCAGGAATACTGGTGTGATTAAAGATTCTCTAAGAAGGGGCCACCCTGGTGAGGTTGCAAGTATTGTAAATTGACATGAAGCACAACACTGTGCTCTGAAGTCCTGCAGCTATTGTTTTGGATAGTGGATGAATGCAATATAGAACTGTATTGTTTATATACATATATTTATACACACACACACACATATATATATGTTAGCATATTTCTTACTGTGACAACCTGAAACACTGGTCTTGAGGTGGTTCTGTTTTGTTAGGCATTCTATCCAAATTGTGACTGTTTCAACTACACACCTTTCAGTAGCAGTTTTAGCAGACTTCTGAATTTTCCACATCAGTTGGTTTCCTGAATACCATTTATGACTGATTTCTGTTTTTAGAACAAAATATTTTTTATGCAGATATATGTTATTTTGTGTAACTTTTATACTCTTGGAGCAGGGAGAAGGTTCAGGTGTGGCTTCCAGTTGCTTTACTCAGAGCCTTGAGAGTGCTGAGGTGAGTCAGAAATGCCTGGGGTAGCTGCTGTTCCTTCTTCCTTTAGATACTTACTGCATTGCAATGGAAGGAGGTGAAAATACTTTTTAAATAGCAGTTGGAAGGAAGGCAATGCAAGAGCTTTAGTGCCTCAGTTGAGTGTAATGGTATACTTGCGAAAATAAGGCTATTTTCTCTCATGTAATTACTGAGGGGAATTGGGGGCTAAGGAGAGGGGATATTGGCAATGGGAAAAAAAAAAAATCCAAAGAAGTAGATGCTGGTTGTAAGTTCCTGATTTTCTGTTTTGGTTCCAGAGCCAATTAGAACAATCTGTATACGTTTGTATAGGCTGTTTGTATTGTAGAGATTTATTATAGCTACTCAAGGCTGTTTTTGATGTAGGCAGGCATCTTTTTCTAATGCTGTGAAATAGAAACAGTACTGTCTTTAAAGGTTAGGGAAGCATATGTGCTCAGTGGCATGAACTGTATCTGACTGTTCCATCTGATTATACTGGAAGCAAATGGATGTTAAACTTCTGACTTCAATACCTGAGCTGATGGTGTGTACACTGTACTGAAGTCATATGCATTATGTTGGTGGTAGTGTCCTGAGATGGAGGAATGTGGAGGCTGGCTTGAAGCTTTAAAACCAGAAAATAGTTTAATTAAAAAAACCTTCAGGTCAATGTCTTTTGCATTTAACTCTTTCTAAAAATTAGAGTTCCACATTTATGATACCATTTTCAAAAGTTTTATTTTTATGTGTTTAGGTCTGATTGAGAGAAGTGTATTATCAAATACACTTTTTGCTGGAGCACCTTCCTTATGAGGACAGGCTGGGAGAGTTGGGGTTGTTCAGCCTGGAGAAGAGAAGGCTTTGGGTAGACCTTATAGCGGCCTGCCAGTACTTAAAGGGGGCTACAGGAAAGCTGGGGAGGGACTCTTTATCAGGGAGTGTAGGGATAAGACGAGGTTTAACGGTTTTGAACTGAGAGAGGGTAGATTCAGATTAGTTCTAAGGAAGAAGTTCTTCCCTGTGCGAGTGGTGAGGCACTGGCACAGGTTGCCCAGAGCAGCTGTGGCTGCCCCCTCCCTGGGAGGGTTCCAGGCCAGGTTGGACGGGGCTGGGAGCACCCTGGGCTGGTGGAAGGTGTCCCTGCCTGTGGCAGGGGGGTTAGGAACTAGGTGATCTTTAAGGTTCCTTCCAACCCAAACCATTCTATGATTCTATGAAATGAGAAACATCCTTTTCTGATACATCTTACTCAACCCATGTGCTGGTTTTGGCTGGGACAAAGTTAATTTTCTTCGCAGTAGATAGTGTGGGGCTATGTTCTGGATTTGTGCTCACAGGGATATTTTAGTTACCACTGAGCAGTGCTTACATAGAGTCAAGGCCTTTTCTGCATCTCAGCCCTCCCCACCAGCGAGTGGGCTGGGGGTGCACAGGAGGCTGGGAGGGGACACAGCCGGGACAGCTGACCCCCACTGGCCCAAGGGATGTTCCAGACCATGGTGCCGGCACGATCAGCACGTAAAGCTGGGGAAGGAGGTGGAAGGGGGGGATGCTTGGGGTGATGGCATTTGTCTTCTGAAGTCACCATTAAGTGTGATGGAGCCCAGCTGTCCTGGAGATGTCTGAGCACCTGCCTGCCCATGGGAAGGGGTGAACGAATTCCTTGTTTTGGTTTGCTTGTGTGGCTTTTGCTTTACTTATTAAACTGTCTTTATATCTCAACCCACAAGTTTTCTCACTTTTACTCTTCTGATTCTCTCCCCCATACCACTGCAGGGGGGAGTGAGCGAGCAGCTATGTGGGGCCTAGTTGCGAGCTGGGGCTAAACCATGAAACCCAGCAAAACCAAAATAAATCAGATATTGACCGTTATTAGCAGAATAACTGAAATAACAGGTTTATTTTCGTAAAGCTAAGTGTGTAGTCTATGACAAAAGATGGAGATGCATTTTTATAGAGTATGCTGAAAATTGGGGTAGTCATATACCCTACTTCTGTCAATGGCAGTGTTTAAATAACTATCTTGAGATGATGCACAAGTCAGTAAGTGTTTTGAAAAGGTTAGATCCACTGGATGATAAATACATGGCACCATCTGTGGAATAGGTGGTATAGCACCATATTCACTTGAAGTTGTTTTAAACAGTAAAACCTGAGGCTTTGTTGAAGCAGCATTGGTCATGAGTGTTTTGGGGTCCGACATACAGGAGAACACCAGGTTGCCAGGATTTGTGCAGAGAGGCAGATGAGGAGGTTTGTTTTGCTTAGTGTTTGGACTTGATGGCAGTTTCTTGGCAGAAGTCATCTTCTTTCCCTATTAAGGAGACAGATTTTAATTCAGCCTTTCAAATAACAGGGCAAAGCATTTCAAATTTGTTAAGTGTTTGTGGTCAGAGCAAAAGTTGCTCAAGATGTGTATTGAAATACGTGCACGGTAGAGTGAGGAACTTAACGCTGCAGACTTTTGACCTTATTTAGTAAACTGGACAGTGATAAATGGGCTCATGTTGACTATGAAGTAGTAGCCAAAATTTGGAATTTGCATCAAGTTCTGCATTAGTGATAATCTTGAGCATAGAAAATACTATGTGTAGCAGAAAGTGTAGATAATAGTATTATAAGTGCGAGTAAGAATATAGTGAGGCTTTGTGGATAGTTTTGGTTTTGACTTCTTTTTCTAATATACAGAAATATGTTTGCTGAAATAGCCCTAGAATTATTCCAGGCCCCAGAAATGCTGGAATAGCCTTAAAGAAATGTCCCAGTGACTACTTTCTCACTCAACTTTGCATGCATGCATTTATGTTTTTTTTTTTCCTCTGTAGGGAGTGAATTAACACGTGACAGATACTTCTTAGTCCATTCATGGAAAGTGCTCTAATGTGGTATTGATGAGCATGCAGTAAAACTGCACTGAATAAGGGTACCTCCCTTAGTTTTGCTGAGCAGCCATTCAAAACCTGCTGTTCTTCAGAGGTGCTATGAAACTTTTTTCCTTTGTTCCTCAGTCATGTAAGAGATGAAGACAGCATTTAAATTGCTACCTTAGATAAAACTCAAGTAAGAAATGCTGACTTTTCCTTTACTTTATTAATGAGGCCTGGTGTTGTCCTGTTTCTTTGCACCAGTATTAGAGCACAGGTGGGGCCTAAATTTCTGGGCTTTAGGATCTGCCCTGTTTGTGTTGTGCCTGTTGATGAGATGCGTTGCAGGTGCACGGTTGGTGTGGGAGCTGCCTTACCCCTTGTTGCTGCCTTACCGCCTGTTGTGAGCTGTACTTTGGGAGAGGACAGCTTCTTCTGAGGCAGCACAGCCACATGCGTCTGATTCCAAGCCTGTGCTGGTGGGAAACTTTCCAAATTAGTTAAGTCACAGTCAGCAGAATTTTTCCACCTATCCAAAACTAGAAGGATCAAATAATTCTAGTCCATACACTGGTCTTTCTTTTTTTTTTTTTTTTTTTTTTTTTTTTGGTGGGGCTTTTTTGTTGTTTTTTGTTGTTTTTTGTTGTTGCGTTTTGTTTTGTCTTTTTTTCCATTTCCTTTAGTACAAACATTATTCGCGCATAAGGGAGCGCATCCCTTTAGAGCAGGTTGTCCGTTTGCCCGGTTATCCTGTGACTGCATCTGAAATGCGCTCCCCGCGCTGCGGGTGGCTCCGAGCGCCCTCCCCCCGGGACACCCACCGCCGCCGGGCGGCCCAGGCGGGCCCGGCCCTACCCGCTGCCGCTGTCCGGGGTCGCCGCGGCCCGAGCGTAGCGGCGCGGCGTTGCCATAGCAGCGGGAGCCCCGGGGGCCCGCCGCGGCGCACCCTGGGCGCTGTAGTTCGCGAGGCGGGCGGGCCGCTGGGCCGCAGTGAGGCGCGGACTACGATCGCCAGCGTGCTGCGGGGCGCCGCCCCCCTGCGCAGGCGCGGCCCGGCCTGGGCGGGTCGGGTCGGTGTTGTTTTTGACGGCGTCACTGGCGGCCGCAGCTGCCGGTGCCTCGTCTGTGCCGGGCCCCGCTGGGGCCGCGCTCAGGTGGGCGGCGGGATCGGCCCGCGGGGAGCTGCCGCCTTCCAGCCTGGCCTCGGAGCGCGGCCTCCCGGGGAGCGCGGCGGCCGGGGGCGCGGGAGGCTGCCTGGAGCGGGGCAGAGCCCGGGGGCGCTGGGGCCGGGGCGGGCACGGTCGCTGGCGGTCGCGGGGAGCGGGGGAGCGGGGCGGTGAGGGGCGGCCGAGCGGGCTCCGCGGGCGGCGTTCCCCGCCGTGCCGGCCCTGGCCCTGGCGTTTGCCAACTTCCTTGTCTTTCATCATCCGCCTCTGTCTCTCCGGCTGATGCAAGGTGCTCTGTTTCATAAATGGGCTTACTGTTGCTTTAACTGTTACTGCGCCGTGCCGGTTTCTGTTTCGGGTGTGTTTTCATAACACCGGCCAGAGACAAGTGGCGAGGGCTCAGCAGGGAGTGCCAGGCCAGGGGCTGGGGGGGTTGGCTTTTGGAAGCCACATTTGACTTGCTGGAAATCATGGCAACGAAATAGTCTTTATGGGTAGCTAAAGGTATTAAGAAGAATGTTACTTTGAGGAAGAAATTATACTGCTTAGTAGAAATAATAGACTTGCATGAAAATCCTAAAGTATAATACCACTGTAACATGTTTTTATTTCTGCTGTGCGACAAAGAAGCTACTGTAGACGAGAACTGTGAGTTTTTGCTTGGAATGACAGCACAGCAAACTAAAGAACACCGATTCCTATCCATGTCTTGTTATTCATCTTTGTCAACACTGAGTTGCTTTTTAGTCTAAGAAATTCTCTTTGAAGTTGGAAGAACTTAGGGGTTTGTTTAGGCTGGTATGGTTATTCTTTCTGAGACTGTTGTTTATTCTGCTTCACAGTGGATAAATAAAATGTGGTATCTCATTTTTATATGGAATAACTTGGTATTACGTTATCAGCAATACACATGGCTGTAAACTTTTACACCTTCTGCTTCTAGTTTGCATTTCACTAAAGCTAGGAAATTACTTCACACTCCTGATTCCTTGCCCCCTCTTCCCTCCCTCCACCACCACCAGCAGTGTGTTGAGGTTAAACTCTGAATATAATGGATATTTATTTTATCTAGATGGAAAATGTAGTAGGCAGTGTCACTGGGAGTGTAGGATGCTTGGGGACCTACAACGAGCTTTGCAGTTTAAACTGGAATATAGAAGAACTTGAACTGTAACTTTATTTTGAAAAATTGTGGCAATAAAACTATGTAGTGAGAAGCCAAACCAGTGAAGCTCTGTGTGTGAGGTGAATTTTTCTTTTTTTAATCTTTCTGGCTTGGCCTGACATACAGGAGGTGTGGAATTCTCTACTGTTTCTTCCAGTTATCCCTGCTGTTACTGAACTAGAACTCATTAGCATCATCTTGATTCATTAAGAAGTTTGCAGGCTTCTGCCTGTTTGCTTATTCTGTTTAACGGACGCCCAAAGATACATTTCTTTTTATTTAATTATTTATTTAACAGCGTGCATTCAGGAAGATAGTGCCAACGGTATCCAGCACCTTTGGGCTGGTAGGAAAACAGTACTGATTCTTAGTGGGTCTTTATCATTTGGTGGTGGAGAATACAAACTGGTGAAGATTTTGTGAGTAGCTTGGTTTAGCCATTGGGCTCAGATCAAGCTTCTGTATTTCCCTTTCCCTAAGTGACTGGTTTTGACTAGATATGTTTTATTAATCTTTTACAGAAATAAGTTGTTTACCATATCTGCTAATTGAAGTTTAGGATCACTGTATGTAGGTGGTTTTTAATTAAATCTGGTTAGGCTGTTTTGCTCTTTTAGTGCTAACTAATTATAATTAATATAATGCTCTGCTTTTCATAACTGTTCTACTCATGTATGTTTGCTGAATATGCTTGTAGGAATATAGCGACTCTAGAGATGACCTTCAGTCTGATGCCATGCACTCTGTCATCCTTGATAGGTTTAGCAATTCTACCTGTAAACCTCAATGATTTTGTAATTATTATTTTTTTTTCCATTTTTTTCCTAATACTTAAAAATCTTTCTTTTTT